ATTACGAAAACGTAGCCAGTGACGGAGCGTCGATCCGTCGCGTCTGCAGCCCAATCGGCGTCGACAAATGCCGTCGGAGCAAGATCTGCGTCGCGCTTGAAAATGAGGCGCGCCGCGGATGTTCCTACAAGGTAGCGGTGGACGCGTTTGAGCGCCATGTAGTGCTGGAAAGCCGGGGTTGCCGAGTGCTTGCTGAGAACGCCCACTGCAAATGCGAGATCTGGGCGTGTTGCGAGCATCGCATACATGAGTGACCCGACGCCGCTTTGGTACGCGCGAACATCGGTCGTTGGGACCTCACTCTTCTCGAGTTTGGTGTTTGCATCCATTGGGGTGCCGACAGGCCGTGCAGCGTGCATTTGAGCGCGCTCGAGGAGCGTCTCAACATAGCGTTGCTGCGACAGCTCAATGGTACCTTTCTTCCAGTCCCGGATGAGCTCCATCCCTAAGATCCATCGTGCCTCACCAAGGTCTGTCATCTCGTAAGCGTCTGACAGTTGCTTCTTGAGCTGCTTGATGGCGACGATGTCCTTCGAGAATATGAGCTTGTCATCAACATAAACAGCGACGATGATGAGCACTCCGTTATGGACCCGGTAGAACACGCTATGGTCTGCTTCACAGCGCGTGTACCCGAGCGACTCGAAAACTTCACGAAGGCGGGTGTACCAAGCCTTACTCGCCTGCTTGAGTCCGTAAAGCGCCCGGTTAAGCTTCCAGACGATGTTCGGATCATTGCGGAAACCTGGTGGTGGACGCATATAGATCTCCTCCTCGAGCTTGCCATTGAGGAACGCTGAGCGCACGTCCATCTGATGTACATGCATATCGTGCTTTGCAGCGATGGCGAGGAGTGCCCGGATGGTGGCGAACTTCGTGACGGGTGCGAACGTGTCGGTGTAATCAACGCCCTCGACTTGGGTAAAGCCGCGTGCAACTACGCGTGCTTTATGCTTCTCAATCTGGCCGGTTGGGCCGCGTTTGATCTTGAAAACCCATTTCGAGTCGATGATCTTGCGATCTCGCGGGCGCGTGACTTCTTCGAAAACACCGTTCACCTTGATGGTGTCGTACTCGAGCTGTGTTGCTGCATCCCACTGTGGCGTGTCATCCCGGTTCATCGCCTCCTCATACGTCTGCGGCTCATCATCAAGCGAAGTTGATGCTTTGTACGCATGCTCCTGAGCGTCCTCGTACTCGGATTCGGATCGCTCCCCCTGTGCATCGCCCACTGTCTCGGCTGACTCTGGTTCAGGTTTTATGGCAGGGGTAGCTGGAACTTGAACAGGCCTGGCCGGGATGGTGCTCTTGTCATATGAGTTGACAAAGTAGCGAGGATCGTCATCCCGAGTGGGTGCATGTCGAACTCGAGTACCTCGGCGAAGCTCGGCAGGTGGGTACGGTGCTGGTGGTCCAGCCGGACGTGTGCCTCTGCGATTTCGGCGCTTCTCC